GACTAGTACTTATAGTTGTTGGAGGTAAGTCGAAAGGTTAAAGTTGCCTCGAATACCACAACCGTCAGAAGTTTCGAATTTCAAAAACTGCCCGCCCAAACCGACAAATCAGGGGAATACACGTGGACACCTACGGGGAGTAGCTACTAGCCGCTGACGAAACAAGTTCCGCACAACGCCTGGGGGGCATGACACACCCGCGAAGAAAGAAAAAAGCTCGCAGAAATCAAACCTAACAACCAAGGAGTTGCGCGCAGCTGCCCAACAAATTCAAGTCCGCGCAACGCGCCAAGAAAGATATCACAAGGATCACGCGCATACGCGCCAGTAAGGCGCAAACTCAGAAATAAAATCCAGATCCCGAGAGTCACGCGCGGTCATCTAGGAAACTGCCAACGAATCCCCTGAAATCGCGCATACGGGAGATGACAAGGCGCGCCAGAAGAACAACCGTAACCCCGAGCGTCACGCCCAATCAGATCGCGCAGTCCACAATTATCACGCAGGCCCGAGTCAATCAAGCGGAAACCTAAACAGGGGATATTCACGGAACACCCCCTGATGGGGGGCAATTGTTGGGCATGTGACTCGGACCTAGCCGCGCCAGGGAAACGCGCTAACATCAGCCCAAATACCGCCAGACCCGCTAGTGCGCGACGCGATCAAAGGAACCCAGTACGCCTTGGCGTGAACAGCTTGCGCGCGACACAGGCTACGCGCGAGTGGAAAGGAGCAAGCGAGGACTAGACCACAGAGCCGCAGAAAGCCCCATCGCGTCTCCCGAGGGAAGGTCACGTCAGGGTCCTAGGTATGGCCGTAGGTACACCTCTGACATGTCCTAGATAGAGGCATGGCCTAAATCCTTGGCATGTCAGTGGTCATGTCAATGTCCCATCTTGTAACTCAACCACTCACCCACCACCTTGTAGCCTATAAATATGGCATTTACTACGGTGGGTGAGGGGATCGCATTTTTCACTCTCTCACTAAATACAAAGGACTTTCTCTCTCTAAAAACCTCTGGTGTGGAAAATCTCCCTATCGTTACTCTTCTCACCCTTCTTTCTCACGAGTCTACCTCCTACCCTCAGTTAGACTCAAACATGGCCCGAATTATTCTCAAATAATAAATTTTGGTCCGTGGTTCTAGAAATAGCTATCTTGACCTCAACTATACACCATTATTATTATTATTATATAAATAGCGCCTAATTGCTTAAGGGGTTTAGTCGGATACGGACGCGTCCACGCTAGGTTTATGTGCACATCTTTCCATAATTACACACTGTTATTCCACTCCGTCGTTTCCTTCATTCCTTCATGCAAGATCGATTGCCCCTTTTTCCCCACCCCTTCCTTCTCCGCGTAGTTTCCTGTCCATCCACCGATTGCTTCTCTGATTATTTCGACGTTTCCATATCATCAAGTTGGGCAGAGAATCACAGACATATATAAATAGCGCCTAATTGCTTAAGGGGTTTAGTCGGATACGGACGCGTCCACGCTAGGTTTATGTGCACATCTTTCCATAATTACACACTGTTATTCCACTCCGTCGTTTCCTTCATTCCTTCATGCAAGATCGATTGCCCCTTTTTCCCCACCCCTTCCTTCTCCGCGTAGTTTCCTGTCCATCCACCGATTGCTTCTCTGATTATTTCGACGTTTCCATATCATCAAGTTGGGCAGAGAATCACAGACAAGAAAAAGTAAGTGATTGGAAATTCCACCGAAAGATGTGAATCGAGAACAGAGTAGCAATCAGAGAAGAGAAGGCAGTCAGATGGAAGAAACCGACGGCCGCCGTGGGCTTCCATTCCATGCCAGTTACCAAAAGAGTTTCCTTCACTAATCGTTACCGATCGTTCTAAGCCGCATGAACCCGCAGACTATATAGCGGATTGACATGAGAGAATTAAGGCCGACGCCGACATCGGATTCCGATGCATTTTTTACTCCCATCTTTCACCACTTTGATGATTTATTAAACCTGCCTCTATCCATCTATTTGATAGTTGGAGAAACATTATTATTTAGCTGTTTCCCCCAAGCTCTAATTAGTACTGTGGATCGACTCCCTTTCTCATTTGCATGAGTTCCACGTAGCATCGAGGGGATGCCACCTATCCTCCACTGACATGATGTACAATAATTAGTTTTCTCACATTGATTTCGGATTTCTTTTTTTCTCTTAAGGAAATGGTTTGGTGGCGTCTAAAAGCCACATCATCTAATGCATTCATTTTTGCTGAATCGCACCGGTGCTTATTATCGTAATACGGTATTCACGTAAGAGTGTTGGTTATTCATGTAAATGAAAATTCATATATTTATTTATGATATTTGTATTAACCATATTTTATGAAATTAAATTTAAATTATAAAATTTTCTATAAAAATGAGTTGTATTATCATAATCTACACAATAACATCCATTTTGATATATTTCAAAGTTTAAAAATTAATTTTATAATAATGTGAATAAACAAAATTTGATTTTATAATAATGTGAATAAATAACAATATGTGTGAATAGACACTAAGTTTTATGAATAAACATGATTGATTGTGTGAATAACCAACTAATACGACGTGATTAAGCAAAAATTTACGTAAATAAACGCAAAAATATATAAATTAGGTGCCGTGGCTTTTAAGTGACACCAAACCTTCTCCTTGGTTTAATTGTGCACAAAGTAAAACTTCTCCTTCACCAAAATGAGAGTAGTTAATAAGTTACATAAAAAAAAACTTCATGGGTAATAGGATCCTTGCTGCTCCCTCAAGGCTTGACTTCAATATTTTTTGTTAGGCTTTTAATAATCAGGCTTGGTTCGTTTGGCACTAACGTAAACAATATGCAGGTTTTATTTGCACATGATACTGGAATAATTCCTTCAATTATTAATCGGTCTATTTAAGTAAAGACATTATTATTGAAATTAAGAGAGATTAGGCTTAGAATTTGATGTGATATGAGATGCTTATGCATGTTGGCTCTACTACGTACATTTATGTTATGATACATATTGAAGTTGTACCATAAAATAAAAATAATTTTTTTTATGGTACAACTTCAAAGTCTACCTTTAATATTATGATACAAATTCCCCAATTATTATAATCATTGGCATAGCCAGAAAAATATTTAGTTGGGGTCGAAGAACTACATAGAATCAGAGAACTCTTTGAACACAACTCAATATATAGTGTAATGGTGGAGCTGTTGTCTCAATATATAGTGTACCTATAATCTTTTGGATAAATCTTTTTACTATACATATTAAAGTTGTACCTTTATGTTATGATATCATTGGAAGTTGTACCATATCATAAAATAAAGATACAATTTCCCTTATGGTACAACTTCAATTTGTACTTTTAACGTAATGACATACAACTATGATAGATTTTCAAGTTGAACTTTAAAGCAACAATGCTTTAGTACAACTTCAGTTTGTTCGTTGTTTAAGTTTAAAGGTCATTACATATAAAAGCTTATCATTAGCTTCGGTTCAAGTTTAACGACCAACAATGGTTGATTTCATTATTATTGATTTTGTAATATGTGTCCATAAGTTTGAAAAAATTATTCTTTCAAAAACTATATTCGTATTCCAAAGGTTAATGATTCTTCAAACTTTTATTTCCTCTAATAACATCCACCTTCATTCAAAACAAAACTGTTCTTTATTCCTAATTAGCATATACATTTTAGATAAACCGCTGCGGAGCACGGACCAATTATCTAGTATAGAATAATTGGCTGGACACGTAATTTTCCATCAAATTAGACGATCAACACAATTAACCTTTAATGAATGAGCCCCTGGTCGTAATCTTCGTCGGCCGCGCGTGAAGGACTTCCTGCTCATCTCTTGTCATAGGAAGGAAGCATCCTTCCCTCTGTCGATTATCGATCTAAAGGGCATAGTTGAGGTTTCTTCTGGAATGAGGGATTTGGTTTGTGTCAAAGTTTGGGTCTGGGATTTGTTGATGAATTTTGTTTGAAGGAGTTAATTGTTGTTCTTGATGAATTGTATAATTGTAAAGGGTGAGGGAAGCTTCAGCAGATCAAAGAAAGAGGGAAGCTCGAAAAGAAAGGAAAAAAAAAAAAAAAAACAAAGGAGGAGCCGAAGCGAAGCTCTATTTGTCAAAGAAGACCACCCAACCCAGGAGGAATCAAATTTATTTTTGATTATTTATTTTATTATTAGATAAATAAATTAAATATGAAAAAAAATTGAATTTTTTTATTTATGTTGCTGACGTGGTAGTGAGTTGGAGTTTTGATCGTTCAAATTGACTGTCAAAACACGCGTCCAGCCAAGCTTGACGATATGGTGTATAGTTGAGGTCAGAATAACAATTTCTAAAATCACGGGCTAAACTTGATTATTTGGGTTCCGTCCAAAATAAGGTATGAATTTTTTTTTAATCTAAATCTAGAATATATATAGTTAGGGGTGGTTATACGGTCCGGTCCGGTTAAATTGACCCAAATTGATCCGGTCCAGTCCGGTCTTTTTGAAAATATAAAGACCAAAGATTGGATTGGATACAGTCCGGTCTCGATCGGATCCGGTCCCAATTAGGTCTTGATTTTATATTGAGCTTGTGGGGATTTGAGTGGCCTAAGGCTTAAAAGGGTGAGAAGTTGGTTAAGTTTTGTACTAAATGTAAAGATTTATGACCGTTTATGCAAATTACCCTTAAGTTTTGGGTGTTGAGCTATCTTATCCGGTCTTTATCTAGTTTTCGGTTCCGAACAATTTTTTTTTTTAATCTCAAATCTAAGTCCAAAGATTGAATTGGATTGTTTACTATCCGGTCCCGATCCGGGTTATACAATCCGGTTTCGAGTGAAACCAAAAAACCCGGACCAAATAGCTAGTACTATCTACTACGATGTGGGTTTTCTATATCACATTTGGGCCTTTGTGCAAGGATTCAAACCAACTTGCCAGGCATTATTATGTAAACAAAAGAAAGCACACCATCTAATCAACGATCTTCCAGAACTGCATATTGCAGTCAGCCTTAAAGGCTCCGCCGGCGGTGGTCTTGCAGGTGTCCAGCGTGGCTTTAAGATCCTTCAGACAATCTCTGCATTTGTTGGCGTCGTTGGTATAACACGTGGCGGAACCAGTAACCGAGCCCCTTTTCTTATTCGGAAACCATGCATTGTGCGCACGCAGCGAAGTGGTCGGTGTTTTCCTAACCAAAGCGGCCCTCACCTTCTCCGCGTTGGAATAGTACCACGTCGGATCTCCCGGAGAACCGCCGGTGCAAAACTGTGGATCAGCGGCCACCGCGACGGCCAAGTTTCGGCTGATCGTCGCACATCCCGCCATTACCACGACGGCCATTAGAGCTCGCCGGAGTGAATGAGTAGAATGAGAACTAGCCCATGGCGAGTGCTCCATAAAATATTAGGGATTGTTGATCATACTATTGATTGATTTGGTGCTTCACTTGTTTTTGGTTCGTTAAAGGGTCTGCCCTTTATATATCTTTACATTACGACATATGATCATTTGCTTCTCAGTCAAGTTTTTATTTGCTCCAACAAATTAATGGGTAATTTGGAATCGCTGCCGAACGGAAAGTTTACGGAATAATTTGGTTCTGAATTCTGATAGAAGACAAAGATGAGCCAAGTGAAGACTTAGAGTCGTGTAGAGGTCAAGTACTTGAGCATGTGTCGAAGTTATTGTTCCATAGCCGACTAGCCGTACATTTTGTTGTAGTTCACCCCTGGCTGATGTTAATTATACTTTACACCTAAACTTGGGGAATGATCTTATTTTATGTGATAGGTAGAGAATGATATTATATAAGTCTTAGTTGACAGATGATCTGTAATGTGATGTGATGATCGAATATTAACATCATCTTACGTGAAATACAAAGCATTAGGAAAGTTAAAACATTTTTGTTAAATTATTAGTAAAAATAACTTTCATTCCGTAACCTTTATACAGTATTCGTATACCTTACGCATAATAATTATAATAGAATAATATTACACAATTCTTATGTAAGGTCTATCAACATTATCATGTAGTTTCCAGAAGTCCCACGTAACAGGTATGATTTATTTTTTCATCACCATTATAAACAAGTCCGATTTAATTCTTACGTAAGAAAAAAAATGGTCATTTTGTTATCTTTATTCAATGCATTTGTATTTTAAGTAAAAAAAAACTTACATTCCCCTTCCACGACTCTAGATCATGACCTGTGTCGTAACTAGCCCTAACTCTGCCTGGCTAATCATAAAGGAAAGGGTCGAGAAACTCAAATTCACTATTCTTGTCTTGAATAAGGCCTTCTTTTCACATTATTACCGGTACAAAAGAATAGGAAAAATTGGATGCAAGCCAGATCTAAGGTAGATGGAAATTGGAGCTTTTGTGCCACCTTGAGGATGTGAACTGATGTGGAGAAGGATAAGAACCCAAACCTTGATCGGATTTCGAGTATACATGAGTAATGTTTTTTTTTAATCTTTCTCAACTATTGTGTTATTAATCACCAAATATAGAGAGATATAATAAAAATAATACTATTTCATCATAGGTTACAAATATACTAGCAATAGCGAATATGTTTAAATAAAACACTGGCTACCTATACATATAGGTACTTTTTTTTGACAACCCCAATAGGTACTTATTACAACAAAACTAAAATAGTAACTTAGATCTTAATTAACTTATTATCATCATCAGGAAATTAGATCCTTTTTTTTTCTAACAGCAACCGTGGAAATTAGGGCTTAACGTCCATGCATGAAACTAGTCGTCGATTCTCCAGAACTGCATGTTGCAGTCACTGGCAAAGTATCCGCCAGTCGTGGAACCCTTGCAACTCTCCAGCAGGGCCTTGATACCCCGGAGACAAGCCCTGCATTTCTTGGCCTTGTTGGTGTAGCACGTGGCCGCGCCGGCGACGGAACCTATTCTCTTATCGGGACGTGACGTCCTGAACTTGCGCGTGGAACTGGTAGGCGTCTTCTTCACCAGAACGGCCATCACCTTCTCCGCATAAGAATAGTACTTCGCCGGATCTGGTGGGGCGTCGGAAGCGCATAGCTGCGGGCCGCCGGACTGGGCAACGGCGACGCTGTTTCCGCCGATCAGTAGTAGGTAACCAGCTGCCACTATCCCCACGGCCATTACAGCTCTCCGCCGCAGGGCATAAGTAGCGGCGGGCAAATTACTGCGTGATGATGATGATGATGATGACAAGTAATCCATAATATTGGTGTTTAATTAATCGCTATTAATTACTACTGATTATGAACTGCTTCTGTGTGCCCATTTTATTATGTATGTAGATAAGGGGGTTTGTGATCATTAGCTGATTTCTCCGTCCAGTTTTTGGCAGCAAATTGGTTTCTGATCTTCCCGATCTATGTTGCCGGCCCGTCAAGTCTGTGGAATAATTTGATGTTAAGATAAGCCAAATGATGACTTATTAGAGTCGTGTAGAGATCAAGTTGAGAATTTGTCGAATTTATTATTGTTCCATAGCCGTCCATTTCATTATGCTTTTCACCTAAGCTTGGTCAAAATATCAATAACAAGAATGCAGAGAGAACTCGAAAGACAGAATTTATGAGGTTTCCGCAACAATGTTTGTTAGACTAGTCCACAAAATAAGGCTTAGTGTAGCTTTATATTCAGCAATCAGCATACACTTCGTGCACGCTTACCGTCTCAGCTATTCAACATACACACTATTGGGATTTTTAAGGGTGTGAATGAGAATGAAAGAGAAAATAGTCAAGCAAATCTCTTGGATTACCATTAGTAAGATATGAGAAACCGCGGCCTCGAATTCGGTGGATTTGATTCAATATTTTCGGTTAAATTGGTTTGTGTAACTGATGTTGAACCAAACCAAGCTAAGTTGAACCAAACCGAATCGATGTGGCGGTTGGAATAAGCCAATCGGTCCAACTTCCATGCCCGGAACCGATGCAATGGTAGAAATTTTAAGCGAACCAATGTAATGGTTAGGGTGTAACCACCCACCCGAAGAGTCGCCTCCCTTCGTACACACCCCTTCATTTTCTATAAATAGCACCTATCTCATCGGGTTTTTACATACATTTTTCTATACCAAAACTCTGCCAAAATCAAACTGGTTTTATGCATCTTCTTTTGATTAGGGTGATATAGATTTTCATTTTGTGATTAAGGTACTACTTAAGGGATTCGAACCTGGGACTTCCGGGTTCTAGACTAGTGATATTAGGGCTGGCTATTTGGTCCGGACTGTTTGGTTTTACCCGAAACTGGACCGTATAACCCTTATTGGGACCGGACTGGGACCGGATAGCAAACAATCCAATCTCATATTCGGGCTTAGATTTGAGGTAAAAAACCTGGATAAAGACCAGATAAGAGACCCCCACCACCTAAAATCAAGATCAAATTGGGATCGGACCAGATCAAGACCGGACTGTACCAATCCAATATTTGGTCCTTATATTCCCGAAAAGACCGGACTGGGACCGGATCAATTTGGTCCAATTTAATCGGACCGGATTGTATAGCCACCCCTAAGTGGTATTACCACTAGGCCAAGCACTTGTTTGTTTTATGCATTCTTTCTAAAAGAGAAAAATCGAGTCAAGTGTGGTTCTCGCCATTTTGCTGCGTTTGTTGGTTTCCGGGGTTTGAGGTACCGCTATGTCGTAAAGGTACGTCCTTTCTATCCTAGGTGGAAATATTCCATAACGTTGGGTACTAGAGGGGAATAATATTACTTAAGGAAACCATTCGTGAATCTAAGACGAGTACCTGTTAACATAACTATCAGTTACAACAACATATATACCTAGTTAGCCAGAAGTCCTAGAAGCCCAACTAAAACTAGTGGACAATGGGATGAAATTGGATATTGCTGGGTTGGTCCACCTCATATGGTGGTTGGACTAACCAACTTGAGTTTGTGTTCTCTTTGACTCATTGGAGAGTTTATAAGTCTTTCTAGAAGATACTCTATTATTAAAAATAGAGAGAGTTATTATCTGGTCAAGGGAAAAAGGGAGATAGCCTTTCATTTTCTGGACAGAGAATAAGAAAAGATAAGAGATGAGGAGAAGAGAGAAGAGAGAAAAAAAGAGTTGTAGTTTTTCGTTTCTTCAGTAGGACAGCCTTTGAGCGTTCTGGAAAATTGAACTATTCTGGAGTAGGGGTGGGCGTTCGGTCGGTTTGGTTTAAACCGAACCCAACTAGTATGTACCGAAATTCCGAATTGGCCTACACCCCAACCGAATTCGAACTGAGCTATAATTTGGTTCGGTTTGGTTTACTACCCATAACCGAAAATGTGTAGTTGCTGCCCATTTTTGCCTTCAAGTCTGGTCGCTGGAAATTTGGCAGAGGGCTGCTGCATTTTTTGTTTCTGATGTGAGTACTTTTCCACCTGACATTTCAATTTTATACACCAAGTACAATTAATTAAAACAAGCATTCAAAGTTGGAAGATAAATCAATTGTCCACCTTCCAAATATTCAACACAAACACATTACATTAAGTCCTTCCATATCCAAATATTCATTACAACACAAATGGTTTTAAGTTCAAACTAACAAGAGAAAGGTAACCAATGTCTAAATTCCAAGCATAACTTGTCGAAACTCCAAAGATCTTCACTCTTGGATAATTGACACATTTGAATTCGAAAATAGTACAATAAATATGAAACTATGATGGTTAGTGATTAAGAGTTTAGAGCTAATTGCAAGTAACCAAGTTGAATAAAATGATTAGTTCTTACCTTTGAAGTCATCAATCATGCATAGAAACATCGGAATTATCACCACAAGCACTACTAGATGCACTACCATCGTTCCTCCTCCCACTCTCGACATTGGAATTCGAGGTAGATGAAACAAGATTATCTCTTATGGAGATTGCATTTATCAACTTGTCCAATTATGTATGAATAAATAGATTCAAAATTAGTCATGACATAAAAACTAATCAAGTTGTAAATATGTAATGCTAGATTTGAGACTTCACCTTCATCTATTTTCTCAATCTCTTATGGATCTTCCTCGGCTGATGGTGGTGCAGAATCACCTCGAATCCAATCCGAGCTATAAATTAAAGGCTCTACTATTTTAGGAATCAATGAACTTCTAAAATAATCTAAAATCCTCCCACCAACACTAAAGGCAGATTCGGATGCAACGATAGAGATTGGGACCGCTAGAACATCCTTAGCCATCATGGAAAGGGCAGGAAACCTCAAGCTGTTAACCTTCCACCAACCTAGTACATCAAATTTGAGCACCATTGGTTCGTCTTCTTCACGAAGGTATTTCTCAAGTTTGGATTTGTTTACCGCTCCTACAATTTATTCTCTATGCTTTTTGTATTTAGCAAGTACATCAAGTTTATCAGCATCGTACTCCTCCACAATTGGGTCCATAGAAGTAGAAGCATTATTCGATTGTTTTGACTTCCAAAGCTGTTCATAGTGAGAAAATAGATCAAATGTAGCGGTCTTCACACCCCCCACCATACGTGCTCCCTTGCCACCCTCAGAATACACCATTTTCAAAGCAAAGTCAACCAAACCCAACTTGTACCTCAGATCCATTACAGTGGAGATGTAAAGTAGCTTGTTCATTTTATCCACATCTCCCCAATACTTCTCGTACTTCATCTTCATCTTGCTTGCCATGATACTCTAGTCGAGATCTTTCTTAACTTCCGTCTCCCACTCTTTATCAAATGATATAAGGAATGCACTTCTTGTAAGAACAAGTTAGAAGTGGTATATTTTGAGCTCGAAATCTCAAGGTGAAGTCGTAGAACCAACCAAGAAATCCCATCATCCTCCTTGCATTCTCCCAATCATCCTTTTCTGGACCCCAATTATGCCATGTCTATCTTTCTTGCTTTCCAAATCCTTTCGAAAATGGTCATCATACATGTCAAACATCTTGAACCCCTTTTCAAACCTCTCAGTAGCCTGCAACATCAAGAATGTCGAGTTCCATCTAGTAGGAACATCAAGACACAAGACACGTTTGCCTTCTACATTTTGAATAGTGCAAACTCATGAAATTTTTTCAACCTTTCTGGTGAGATTCTAATAAACCTCACGACTTCCCTAATTCTCTTCACCGACAAGGAAATATCTCCAAGCCCATCAGAAACAACCAAATTTAAGATGTGAGTTGCACATCTCATGTGAAGGATTTCAATATCACATATACTAGTCCCTCTAGCATTAAAAACTTCCTTCAATTTGACCACAACTGTATCATTAGAGCTAGCATTATCCACAGTAATTGTGAAGACATTGTCAATTCTCCAATCATCCAAACAAGCAACAATGCCATCAGCAATATCTACACCTTTATGACCTTTAAGTTCCCCAAAATTGATGATCTTCTTTCTCATATTCCAATCTTGATCAAATAAATGGGCAGTTAAGCACATACAACTATCTTGCTTGTTTGAAGTAAATGCATCGGTAGTCAAACAAATTCTTCCTTTACAACTTTGAAAAAACCTTTTTAACTTGTCTTTCATTTCACTATCGCCTACTTCTACATTTCCTTCCCTTTCCCTTTGCGATTTCGACTATTCTCTAGGGTTAGATCGAAGTCGACTCGATTTGAGTAGAGGTAGAGCAGCAGCCAGCAGGCCACTAGAGTCCAGATGCAAACGACAGACAGAAAGGCCCATTCAAATTTGTGTTGCGGAGTGGGCTGAAAAAGAGGGTTGGGCCGGGTATAGGCTTGGACGCTTGGCATTGGGCAGTTGAGTATTTCGGAATTCACTCGGTATTTCGGTTCAGATCAAATGAACTTGGTTTCCAAAATTTACCATATTCACATCCGAATTTCGAGCCTAATTGGATTTATTTCGGTTTTGGTTGATTTTTGTTCGGTTCGGTAAAATCGAACCTAATGCCCACCCTTATTCTGGAGGGATAGTCGTTCTGATCTCTAGTTTGTCGGGAATCGCTGCTGGATAGAAGGTGTACGAATGTGCTTTTGGATACTTCTAAACCTCTCTTTGTCTTGCTCTTGTTCTAGTTATCCACCATGTTGGTGAGCTATTATAGTTTATTGTTGATCCAAGAAGGCTGTTCTTGAGGTGTTTGTAATCCTCTAGCTAGTCTAGAGATGATTTGCAATCCCAACAAAGTCTAGTGGAGTTGTGGTTTGGATAAAGATTCCGTGATTTTTTCCGATTTAAATTTTTCACGTAAAGATCATGTGTCTTGTGCATTCTATTCTTGCTTTGTTGTTGCTGCTCCATTTCTCAACAGACAAGATATACAAGAATTCTGCCGTGCCGTTACGGCACCAGTGCCAGCAATGAATTTGAACAGTACTGGAAGTAAGATCGGTTGACGGCATCAATTAACGGATGAACAAATTAAACCAATTGATAGATTTAAGAGTTTTTATTGAAGGAACATGGAAAAAGAAAGCAAGAGTAGTGTTCCACCGGCGCCGGTCCCCACAAGCCTGCCTAGCTAGTCCGGCCGGCCGGGCAACCAAGATTATGTCTCCTCCGCCGGGCTGCCAAATTAAACTTAACTAGTGATTGATTCGCCAGAACTGGATGAGACAGTCGTGTTCACGGCTGGATCCGTACGTAGAGACGCAAGAGGCCAATGCGGATGCTGCGAAATTGAGACAGTCAGAACATCGCGTGGCGTCGGTCGTAAAGCAAGTGGCGATGCCCTTGACGGAGCCGGCCTCTTCATCTGGAGACCAGGTTTGGTAGGAGGAGCGCGTTGCTGCTGTGATCTGCGCTGGAGTTTGATCGACCAGCGTGGTGAGAACCGCGGCTACATAAGAAGGGTAGTTGGGATCCAGCTTTGGGATGTGAACGCTACACTTCGCCGCCGTTACATGGCTAGGTAATAAGCACCCACAAACAACAACTATTATTATTGCCCGCCGTCGTAACAATTTGGAGGGAGAGTACGAGGACGACGCCATAGCTGTAGTAGTAGTAATTGTATGAATGGGTAACGAAGGGTGATGCTCTTTTATTTAATTTATACACATTAACTAGTAGCTTTGCATCATGATTCATGATCATTATCGATCATGGCAATGTTCCACGACGATCAGCTTCAACAGTTTTTTGTTGTTGTCATATCTTGATATATTATATAATTTCATTTGTTTAGTGTTCTCTGTCTACGCTACTGGTTAGCTAACATTTACAAATGCTAATTAGTTTGCTTTCACAGAGTTTCCAAGATCCATGCCACCGAGTACACACATATACAGAACAATCTTTACCGTTTCTATTCTTGGAAAATTAAACAAAATTCTTAAGTTGGTCTTCGTCATACAAATCTGATGATAACTATGGTCCAAGATAGGGTCAGTAACCACTGGTTACCGACCGATCAGTAACCACATTGGAGCCATAAATCTGGGGGTGGAGCAATCGTGTGGCTGGGCCGGATGCGGGGTGGAGAGGGGCATTTTTGTCCGTTTTTGTATTTTTGATTTTTTATTATTTATTCCGCATTTCAATAGCTGACTTTTCAATGAAAGAGAGAGAATTGCCTTTTCTCTGCAACTCAACTTTCTTCTTTCTCTCTTCCTTTTTTCAATATCTTTCCAGATCCTTTCTCTTTCTCTATTCCTTCTCTCTTACTTTTTCTCTCACAATCTACTTTTCAAATCTAGATCTACTCTCTTTCTTCTTCATTTTTTCTCTAGCAATGGACGATTAAAAATTGTAGCCACTCTCTTTCATTGCATTTCTTCTCTTCATCAATTCGTTGGCCTCAATTCCGATCTTTCTCATTTTTTTGGCATTTTGGTGTTCTTGATTGAGGAGGAGGAAATGAGAGGCATCAGAAGACGATTTTTTCTCTCCCTCCTTCTGTTTTTTCCCCCTTTTAGACAATTTATATTGATATTATGACTCTATACCATATGGTATTGGGTGGTAACAAAATATATATTGATATTACCACACTATACCCTATGGTAATGTATGGTATTGCGTGGTAACGAAATATATATTGATATTACCATTCTATACCATATGGTATTGTGTGATATTACCACACTATACCATATGGTATTGGGTGGTAACGAAATATATATTGATATTACCACACTATACCCTATGGTAATGTATGGTATTGCGTGATAATGAAATATATATTGATATTACCACTCTATACCATATGGTATTGTGTGATATTACCACATTATACCATATGGTATTGGGTGGTAACGAAATATATATTGATATTATCACACTATACCATATGGTATTGGGTGGTAACGAAATATATATGTATATTACCATACCATGTGGTATGATCTTATTTAATACCAGTCAATACCATATGGTAATAACTGGAAATTTTTTTATGTCCAAAAAATATCAAAGTGAATATCATTTTGAAGGGCACAATTAATCTGATCTAACTGTGCAAAATTTTTTTAAATTCCGACTTAAAAAGAGTGAGAAATCGTCCGTTAAATATTAAAAGAAGAAAAATTAAAGCTTTTTCGAGGAGAGAGAAGGAGGTGCTGATGTGGTCCGGTCAAAAGTCAGCGTCAGTATTAAAATATGTGTAAGTGCAATTTTACCTTACTGCCCTTCCGCATTTAATTTAAATAAAAAAAGAGGACTGACACGTGGAGATCAGAGAAGGAGTTACTGATGGATTACTGACTCATCAGTTACTGACATGATCCGGTCCCGATAACTATGGCAAAATAAGGCTGTGGATTTCGGAATTTCTTTTGGTGGGAAAAAGGACGAAAACGAGGGAAGATAAATTATAAGGTGACACTGACACCCGGTATAGGATGGGCAGTGGTGAAGCCACGTTACAGCCAGGAGGGGCTATAGCCCTCTTAACTTTTTAAATTGTGTTAATTTTGTAACAAATTTGGAAAATAGAGTTGGTGGTATTGCATTAGTCTCCCTCTCTAGTTCAAATCCTTTGAACGTAAATTTTTAGCCCCCTCTCATTCAGGTTTCTGGGTCCGTCACTGAGGATCGGTGTCAAATAAGATTGGTGATGAAAGACAAGGAAAAGCTTGATCTAACAGTGATACCATTAGTCTAGAACCTTAAATTCCTAGGTTCAAATCCCCGAAGTAGTACGTTATTCATAAAAATGGGCCTCCAGGAACTGGGCCTCCATGATCCTGGCTGCCAGGGTGATCAATTTACTTGGACGAACAAACGAATGGGTGCTGCTTGCATTCGCGAGAGACTCAATAGGGCCCTTTGCTCTCCCTCCTGGATTGATAATTTCCCTGAAATGGTGGTTAAAAATTTCACGGATCAAGGCTCCGATCACCGTGCCATCTTGCTCTTCGACAAGGCATATGCTCGTAATTCCAGGCCTCTATTCCGCTTTGACGCCCGTTGGACAGATAACCCATAGGTCAAAGCCATGGTCAACTATGTGTGGCAAGAGAGTATTCTAGGTACCCCTATGTTTCGACTCTGGGAACGCCTGAAGAAACTTCGTCATCTCCTTTATGATTGGATCAGGGCAGGGACTACGAATTCCCTTCGGAATATAAAAACCCTCCAAGGGGAGATCGATCAAATCAAATTAGTCCACCCAATTGATTGGGATACGATTCGTAGCCTTGAGACTGAACTCTCTCGCCAGTGGGAGGCGGAAGAGATTTATTGGCAACAAAAATCTCGGGTCCGATGGCTTCAGAAAGGCGATAAGAACTCCTCCTATTTCTATACTGTGACGAGGACTCGACGTAAACGGAACTTTGTTTCGGGGTTGCATAATGAGGATGGTGAATGGGTAACAGAGGAAGCTGGGAAGGCCAGTATCACTTCGGATTTTTATCATAATCTGTTTACCTCGGATAATCACGTCCCTAATATGGCCGAAAGGGTGGAGGCTCTTCCCATCCATCGGACCGTCACTCCAGACATGAATGCTAAATTGACGGAAGAAGTTCTACCAAGCGAAGTACGTAAAAATGTCTTCGCCATGGGATCGAAGCAGGCCCCTGGCTCTGATGGTTTCACTGGGAAATTCTTCAAAGACTTCTGGGATGTTGTGGGGGAATCAGTAATTGAGGCATTCTGTTTGTTCTTTCCGACGAGTAGAATGCTCTGTAGTTTCAACCATACTTGGTTAACTCTGATCCCCAAAGTAGATAATGTGGAGCACATGAGGCAATTACGCCCAACTAGCTTATGCCAATTTGTTTACAAAATTATAACCAAGATCATGGCTGAGCGACTCGCGCACCTTTTACCACAAATCATCTCGGAGGGTCAAAATGCTTTCATCTGGGAACGCCAGATAGTTGATAATATTCTCAATGGGCATGAGCTGATGCATCACCTCAAAATTAAAACACGTGGGAAGAAAGGGTACATGGCACTAAAGGTTGACATGGAAAAGGCCTATGATTGAGTCGAATGGCCGTTTCTTCTGGCAGTGTTGGACAAGATGGGATTTAGCTCGGTCTGGCAAGGGTGGATCCATGAGTGCCTCCGGTCCTCTTCTTTCTCGGTACTAATGAATGGTACTCCTTTAGGATACTTTACTTCATCCTGGGGACTAAGGCAGGGGGATCCGCTCTCCCCTCTCTTATTTGTGCTTTGCACAAAGGGGTTTGCAGCGCTCCTTCGTAAAGCCATTGCGGACAAGAAACTGGATGGAGTTAAGGTGGCACCGCGCGCCCCTAAGATCTCCCATTTATTCTTCGCGGATGACTCATATCTCTTCTTGAGAGGTACTCTTCAGGAGGGCGAGAACCTTATTGAAGTACTAAACGAGTATGAAGAGCTGAGCGGCCAGCGTGTCAATCTGGAAAAATCGGCAGTGTGCTTTAGTAAGAATATTGCCCTGCCTGACCAAGAATTTCTGGCCACAGTTTTGGGGGTTGGGGCGGTTGGGGTTCATGATAAGTATCTCGGGCTGGCAACACTGATAGCACTCTCGAAGATGGCTACGTTCCGGTATCCGGAGGACAAATTGTTAGAACGGCTTCAAGGGTGGAAGCAGCGGACATTATCTTGGGCGGCTAAAGAAACTTTAATCAAGTCAATTTTCCTGGCTTTACCTTTGCATGTGATGTCCTGTTTCAGATTACCCTTATCCCTGTGTCTCTTGTTGGATACACATGTTGCCCGATTCTGGTGGGGTGCTGAAGCGGGCCAAGATAGGGTCTGTTGGGTGTCCTGGCGTACATGTGCAGAAGTAAACATGAGGGAGGAATGGGGTTCCGCCGGTTTGAACACTTTAATCAGGATTTGTTAGCTAAAATTGGTTGGCGTATACTCTCTGAACCCCAGTCTCTTCTGGCCCAGGTCTACAAAGGCAAATACTTTCATACGGGGTCTTTCCTTCAGGCTAAGCCACGTTCTAGGCCTTCCTGGGGTTGGCAAAGTGTCCTGTATGGAAGACAGCCGTTGGAGGCAGGTCTTCGCTGGCAAATTTTGAATGGAAAAACTGCCTCCCTCCTTCACTCTAACTGGATACCTCGTTTCCAGCTCGACCCTCTATATTATAATCCACAGGTCTTACCAGAGGGGGTTGACCCGAAGGTTGCTGAGGTAATTCTCCAAGGGGAAGGGCGTTGGTGTGATACTAAGCTCAGGCAAGGGTTTGACCCGCCTACGTGCCGGGTTTTTAAAACTATTCCTCTTCCGCGGCGGAATATGGAAGATAGGATGATCTGGCATGACACAAGGGATGGGGTCTTCACTGTCAAATCAGCTTATCATCTGGCTGTGTCTCTGGATAGGAGGAAGGGGCGTTGGCAGTCGCTGGCAAGTTGGATGGATAGGGCTAGCTGGATCGGGTTATGGAATGCTAATATCCCTCCTAAATTGAAATTTTTTGTCGGGCAGATTCTCACTCGGACCCTTCCTACTACGGAGGCCCTGGTAGATAAGCAGATCCCAGTTTCTCCTCGTTGTCCGGTGTGCTGGGCTCGTTGTCCGGTGTTGGTCCCCCGGCTTCTCC